GAAGTTGCCACTGATGACGTAAGGGATGACACCATCCGGCCACACTCTCTCCGGTCGGGATGTGGCCGCCCGGCGGCTCCGTCCCCGTTGCCGTCCACGGGTGTGGGGTTGGTGGCCCAGCCGTGGGGTGGTGTTGGTGGTGTTGGTGTCTACGGGGATAGTTGGAGGGGTGGTGGTGGTGAGAAGGGGGCAGCCCCCTGGGTTGGAGGTGGTTGGGAGGGTTGGTTGGGGATGAGGGTGGTACCTGAGGAGTTGGTGGGCAAGCGCGTGACGGTGCGGCGTGCCAGGTCCACCACCCGGTCCACCTGGAAGAGCTTCAGGTCCTCCTCGTCCAGGGCGATGTCTCCCAGGAAGGCAGCTGAGGGGTGGGGAGGGAGGAGGTGTGAGCCCCCCAACCTTCCACGCCTATGCCAGGGGACCCCAAACCCCATCGGACCCCCATGGGGCTCTCCCCAGCCACTGGATGTGGCTAGTGCCAGGGTTTGTGGGCCACCAGTGGCCATCAGGTGGTCCTGGGCACCCCCTGCCCTCACCAGCCCCTGGGGAAGGGCAGAGGAGGGGCAGAAGTGGGGAGCAGGGGGGGGCTGGACCCCAAACCCCATCAGAACCCCATGGGGCTCTCCCCAGCCCCTGGATGTGGCCAGTACCAGGGTTCGTGGGCACTGAGGACCAACGGGTGGTCCTGGGCACCCCCTGCCCTCGCCGGCCCGAGGGGAAGGGCAGAGGAATGGCAGCAGTGGGGAGTTGGGGGGGACTGGATCCCAAACCCCATCAGACCCCCTTGGGGCTCCCCCCAGCTCCTGGATGTGGCCAGTGCCAGGGTTTGTGGGCACTGGGGACCAACGGGTGGTCCTGGGCATCCCCTGGGGCTGGACCCCAAATCCATGAGACCCCCGTGGGGCTCCCCCCAGCCCCTGGATGTGGCCACCATGGGGGGGAAGGGGGTTCACACTGGGTTTGTGGGCACCAGGGATGGGCACCAGGGACCAACCACCCCCTGCCCCTACCAGCCCCTGGGGAAGGGCAGAGGAGGGGTCTGGACCCGAGCAGGGGGGGTCTGTACCCCAAACCCCATCAGACCCCCATGGGGGTCTCCCCAACCCCTGGATGTGGCCATCACCAGGGTTTGTGGGCACCAGGGACCAACGGGTGGTCCTGGGCACCCCCTGCCCCTACCAGCCCCTGGGGAAGGGCAGAGGAGGGGTCTGGACCCCAAACCCCATCAGACCCCCATGGGGGTCTCCCCAACCCCTGGATGTGGCCATCACCAGGGTTTGTGGGCACCAGGGACCACCAGGTGGTCCTGGGCACCCCCTTCCCTGGGGAAGGCCAGTGGTGAGGAACAGGGGGGGCTAGACCCCAAATGCTATCGGGGCCCCCACGGGGCTCTCCCCAGCCCCTCCACACCCGGTAAGGCCCTGAAGAGGAAGGTGAACCCTTCCTCCTCCTCATCCTCTTTCTTTCCTTCAACCAGGGGCCTGGGGGGGGAAGGGAGTGTGGTGCTGGCCAGGCCCCCCCCCCCTCGCTCCCCATCCCCGCCGCCGTGTCAGCTCTCCTGGCAGCTGGAGCCAGCCCCACGCTGACATCTGGTTCAAATAAACCCTGATCCGTCACTTTTTTTTCCTTTTAGAGAGTGTGTGTGTGTGAGTGTGTGTGTGTGAGTGTATGTGTATGAGAGTGTGTGTGTGTGTGTGAGAGTGCGTGTGCATGTGTGTGTATGTGTGTGAGTGTGTGAGAGTGTGTATGTGTGTGCGTATGTGTGTGTGTGCGTGTATGTGCGTGTGCGTGTGCGTGTGTATGAATGTGTGTGAGTGCGTCTGAGTGTATGTGTATGAGAGAGTGCCTGTATGTGTGCGTGTATGAGTGTGTGTATGTGTATGAGAGTGCGCGTGTGTGTGCGTGTGTATGTGTATGAGTGCGTGTGTGTATGTGTGTGCATGTGTGAGAGTGCGTGTGTGTGTATGTATGAGAGAGTGCGTGTGTGTGTATGTATGAGAGAGTGCGTGTGTGTGTGTGAGTGTATGTGTATATGAGAGAGTGCGAGTGTGTGTGCGTGTGTGTATGTGTGCATGTATGTGTATGAGTGTGTATGTGTGCGTGTATGAGTGTGTATGTGTGCGTGTATGAGTATGAGAGTGCGTGTGCGTGTATGTGTACGAGAGAGTGCGTGTGCATGTGTGTGTGTGTATGTGTACGAGAGTGCGGTGTGTGTGTGTGTGTGTGAGTGTGTGAGAGAGAGTGTGTGTGTGTGTCTCAGGGTCTCTGTTATTATTTGTGTTGCAAAACCTGCTTTCTTTCCACTTTTGCCAAAAACCAAA